AATCCTTGAATCTGCAAGAACCTTAACCTTATCAGTCAGTAATACACAAATTGGCTTAATCATTTATTTACTAGCTAACTAAATAATAACACAGAATACATACATACTTAATACATGACAAAAGTCACTAGCAGACTAACAACAGCATGAGTGCTTGGTTATCAAAAAGGGAGGGGTCAATAGGAGGGAGAGAGGGACAAACAGAGTCAAACTTATCGTATATACATTTGGAAACTACGCTACGGTAATCAGAATACTTAGCACCCTAACCACCGCCCGTTCGGAGTAAGAAACCAATGAATGTATTTACATGTTTGCCCCTCGTCTATCTCTGTTGACCCAAGCCCTTCTGGAAAGGAGGTTTTGGCCGGATCTTCGCTCAGCTCACTTGTAAGGCTCTGATTGTCCACCAGAGGTCACAATGTCCTCCTCCTTTGTAGAGCTTCTCTGGTAGTGAAGTGTGTGTTAGAATAGATACTTCAGACGTTCCATCACGCCAACACAATGTCTGTGCTCCCTTGGGCCGTGGTTACTGACTGGGCAAAAGTTTATATGAAAAACTATTATCTCTTTTAGAAGACTAAAATCACATTCCTATCTTCATTAAAATACTCTCATACTTAATCATATAATTTATACAACATTTAGATGTAAACTTGATAGATAGAATATGTACACTTTCCGAGTTACAGTTATTTCTTGATACCATCCTTAATGACATCACAAAAATAATAGACAATATGACATGATAATTCTTTAGGTCCCCACTGACTATTCTTAACATTCGGATGATAGAAATAAATGTTCCAATGTTCACTATTTTAGGAAAAAGGTTTTTGGCGGCAAAAGTCTCTCTCTACACAAGGGCACACTCTTTTCTCAATACGAGAGAGCCAGGGAGAGAGTTCTCTCCTGCTTAAATTTACGACCCAGTGTTAAGGTGTCTAGACCGGCACAGACCCCCCCTCCCCTCTTCTGTGGGTGAGAGGGTCTGTTTGTTGTCAGCCATTTGCCTAGCTGATCTGAGTCATTCGGTCCACTGTCAGGAGAGTCATGACAGTTGTAATTTTGAATTCCGTAAAGTGAAGAGGTGAAAAAATGACAACAATGACAAGCCACCGGGGTCTGACAACTTTGATGGAAAATTACTGAGGATAATAGCGGACGATATTGCCACTCCTATTTGTCAATCTAAGCCTACTAGAAAGTGTGTGCCCTCAGGCCTGGAGGGAAGCAAAAGTCATTCCGCTACCTGAGAATAGTAAAGCCCCCTTTACTGGCTCAAATAGCAGACCAATCAGTTTGTTACCAACCCTTAGTAAACTTTTGGTTAAAATTGTGTTTGACCTGATACAATGCTATTTTACTGTAAACAAATTGACAACAGACTTACAGCACGCTTATAGGGAAAGACATTCAACAGGCATGGCACTTACACAAATTACTGATTGGCTGATTGAAATTGATGATAAAAAGATTGTGGGAGCTGTTTTGTTAGACTTCAGGTGAGGCTTTTGACATTATCGATCATAGTCTGCTGATGGAAAAGCTTGTGTTATGGCTTTACACCCCCTGAAATATTGTGGATAAAGAGTTACCTGTCTAACAGAACACCGATTGTGTTCTTTAATGGAAGCTTCTCCAACATAATCCAGGTAGAATCAGGAATTCCCCAGGGCAGCTATCTAGGCCCCTTACTTTTTAAAATGTGTGTAAAGCCAGTGTGTCTATGTGACTGAATCATCACTATACACGTCAGCTACTACAGCAAGTGAAATCACTAACACTTAACAAAGAGCTGCATTTAGTTTCAGAATGGGTGGCAAGGAATAGGTTAGTCCTAAATATTTAAAAATCTAAAAGCATTGTATTTGGGACAAAACCTAAACCTCAACAAAATCTTGTAATAAATAATGTGGAAATTGAGCAAGTTGAGGTGACTAAACTGCTTGGAGTAACCCTTGATTGTAAACCTATGGTCAAAACATTTTGATACAAAAGATGGGGAGAAGTCTGTCCATAATAAAGCGCTGCTCCGCCTTTTTTGACAACACTATCAACAAGGCAGGTCCTACAGGTCTAGTTTTGTCGCACCTGGACTACTGTTCAGTCGTGTGGTCAGGTGCCACGAAGAGGGACCTCGGAAAATTGCAATTGGCTCAGAACAGGGCAGCACGGCTGGACCCTTAAATGTACACGGAGAGTTAACATGAATAATATGCATGTCAGTCTCTCATGGCTCAAAGTGGAGGAGAGATTGACTTCATCAATACTTGTTTTTGTAAAAAGTGTTGACATGCTGAATGCACCAAGGTGTCTGTTTTTAAACTACGAGCACACAGCTCGGTCACCCATGCATACCCCACAAGACATGCCACCAGAGGTCTCTTCACAATCCAGAACAGACTATGGGAGGCGCACTGTACTACATAGAGTATGAAAATGTATGCACTCACTTAACTGTAAGTCGCTCTGGATAAGAGCCATGGCTATATGGAACTCTATTCCAAATCAGGTAACTGATGCAAGCAGTAGAATCAGATTTTTTTTTAAACGGATACAAATACACCTTATGGAAGAGCGTGGACTGTGAAGAGACACACACAGGCACATACACATGATAAGATACGCACTCTACACACATGTACACATGGATTTTGTAATCTAGATATGTGATAGGAGAGTTGTGGCCTGAGGGAGAACACTAAATGTATTGGGTAAAGTGTTATAAAATGTAATGTCATGTCATATTTTAAATTGTATATAACTGCCTTAATGTAGCTGGACCCCAGGAAGAGTAGCTGCTGCCTTGGCAGCAGCTAATGGGGATCCTTAATAAATACAAATACATCTTTGAAAAGCGAGTTGGGTAAAGAGCTTTTTTGCCTTAAAGGGATAGTGTTGTATTTTGAGACAGGCTGAATAAGCTAAGTAGCCAATAGCCAGAGGGTAGCATAATTTGTCTGATTCTCTGTAATAATGGTATGGGAATAATAATGCTTTTTATTTTGTAAAGTGGTTTCTTGTATCAAACACAACATTTCCGTTCACTTCCTTGTCTGAAGGATAAACAGGTTAATGTCAAGGCCTATATGTTTTTTTTCAAAAGTCTCATGGGACTGTAGGACTGCATTGAACACCACACATTGGCTGCTAATGTAGGCTGAATGATAGAACATCTATTTCCATGTTAAAATGTTGTTGGATGCATTTTCCTCCATTGTTTTTTGATGGTAGACCACTCTGGTAGGCCTACATTATGATCCAATAGCCACAGTAGTCTACATGGCCACTGTTAAAACGGTAACTTAAAGCGGGTTACAGCCTCCGTGTTCACAGGAAACGCGCGCTGGAAGTTGCACAGAATTTTCACAACATTCAAGTTTGTGCTCAGCAGACCTGAAATCTGCTCAATGCCAAAAGAAAATGGCAAACATTGCTTGTGATGCCCTTGCTAGTTTGATTGTATCTGACATTCCCAGCCTTACTTTCGTCCGTTTTTTTCTCCAAAATATCGAGTCATTGAAACTGAAACTGTGCATCCCGAAAGGATGGAGGCAGCAAACAAATGTACCAGCTGTGATTTACAACCTGATAGCAATATTTGTAGGACTACCAAGCAATATATTAGTCATGCATTGAACTGCATCCATCTATTCTGCCAACAATGCCTTAGTGTACGTCAAGGAATTCTTAGTCCTATAGAACCTATTTTTAAAATCTATTTTATAAAATTTGGTTTTGTAGCATAAACTGTGAATTTGATATGTTTGACTGATATTATGATTGTCTGTTTCATATCTGCAAAGGTAGTTAAAACACTGTCAGTTTCACTTTAACCTTGCTGTGTGAACATAATGGGAAAGTCGAGTCTACTGCTCTGTGAAACTGATACTAAAGAACGTGTCCCAAATAGTTCTTCCCTATGCAGGCTTCAGAAAGCTTTCTCACCTATTTACTTTTTCCACATTTTGTTGTTACAGCCTGAATTTAACATTTTATAAAATATAGATTGTGTGTCACTGATCTACACAATACCCCATAATGTCAAAGTGGAATTATGTTTTTATAACATTTTTACAAATTTAATTACAAACGAAAAGCTGAAAAGTCAAGTATTCAACCCCTTTGTTTTAGGCAAGTCTAAATAACTTCAGGAGTAAAAATGTGCTTAACAAGTGGGATAATAAGTTGCATGGACTAACTCTGTGTGGAATAATAATGGTGTTTAAACATGATTTTTTTTTAATGACTACCCTACCTCTGTACCCCACACATACAATTATCTGTCAGGTCCCTCAGTCGAGCAGTACATTTCAAACACAGATTCAACCACAAAGACCAGGGAGGTTTTCCAATGCCTCACAAAGAAGGGCACCTATTGGTAGATAAAAATAAAATTAAAATAAAAAGCAGACATTGAATATCCCTTTGAGCATGGTGAAGTTATGAATTACACTTTGGATGGTGTACAGGCATCCTTTCCAACTTAGTCCTGAGTAGCCTAGTAACAGTTTTGACTTAAATCGGTTTGAAAATCTATGGCAAGACTTGAAAATGTTTGTCTAGCAATGATCCACAACCAACTTGACAGAGCTTGAAGAATTTTTAAAAGAATGGGCAAATATTGTACAATCCAGGTTTGCAAAGCTCTTAGAGACTTACCCAGAAAGACTCACGGCTGTAATCGCTGCCAAAGGTGATTCCAACATGTATTGGCTCAGGGCGTTGAATACTTATCTAATGAAAATATATTGGTGTTTCATTTTTTTTTTTAAAGTTATTTTGACAATACATAATATTTTGTGTAGATCGTTGACAAAAATGACAATTTAAGTCAGGGGTGTGAATACTTTCTGAAGGCACTATAGGTCACTCTTGGCCCTGGTCAAAAGTAGTGCGTTACATAGGGAATATGGTGCAATTTTGGACGTGAACCAAAGTATGGTTGACATGTGCAATAACACTAATACGCTCCTCTTTTAATTACCTCTACAGGGCACCCATCTTGTTTGAAGTTTTCCCCAGAGCTGACCACTAATGTGAAGAGATTGCGATGGCAATGTATAGAATGCAAAACATGTAGCTCCTGTCGAATACAGGGCAAAAACGCTGTAAGTTTTATAGTGACGTAATGCTGTTCTTAATACTGTTTACATACCATTTCATCCGTGATATAGATTGATAATACCTTCATAGAGACATAGTAATAAGTATAATCTCTCAAAGCCTTATGGGTAGTATGTCCTCTTAATGATATTGACTGGTCCCAAATGGCACCCTATTCGCTATATAATGTACTACCAAGGTCAAAAGAAGCCGTTTGGGACACCGGCAATATCATTACATATTGTTTTTCCAAACATAGATCTGCAACATGTTGTACATTTGAAGACGCCACCGTTTCTTCATCCAAACATAAATCACCTTCACATCCATCATCCATATTAAACTAAACGGACATGCCCCTCTTTAGAGTGAAATGACAGAAGGTGTAACGTCTATGCAACTACAGGGAAGCCACCACACAGCCCCACACATGCCTCCTGTCTCCTTGCAGGACGAGATGCTGTTCTGTGACTCCTGTGATCGGGGGTTTCACATGGAGTGCTGCGACCCGCCACTCTTAAGGAGCCAAAAAAGGGAAAAGGGGTTTTTTTTAAAAGTGTCTGTCGGTCCTGGTTTGCTGAGGTTGTTTCCTCTCTGTGCCTTTCTCTTGGGCCCTTTTCCCCCACCCCACCCGACCCCCCGAACCCCCCAGGGAACCCCCCCCAGGGAACCCGGGGGGGAACCCTTTTCCCCAAAAAAAAAACCCCCCCCCCCCCGTAAAAAACAAAAAAAAAGGGGGAAAAATTTTTTTTTTAATATTTTCTTTCTTATTTTCTCTTTCTATTCCCAAAATTTATTTTTATTTTTCTCTTCTTATATTTTCCTTCTCTTCTCTCTCTCTTCTCTCTGTATTTTCTTTAATTTTCTATTTTTTATTTTCTTTCTCTATTTTATTTGAAAATCTTTTTTTATTATTATATATATTCTATTTTTTATCGGGTTATCAAATATCTTAATTATATTCTTTTTTTTCTTTTATTATTTTTTATTTTTTTCTTTATTTTATCTATTTGTATCTTCTTTTTTTAAAATCTTTTTTTTCTCTGTTTTTCTATTCTTTTATATTTTCTATATATAAAAAAAGAGGGAGGGGGGGGGGTTTTTTGGGGATTTTTGGGGCCCGGGGAAATAAAAAGGGGGGGGGGGGGGGAAAAGGGGGGAAAAAAGGGGGGGGAAAGGGGAAGCCCCCGGGGAATTTTTCCCAGGGTAGGGTGCTCGGGGAAGGGGGGGGGGTATTTTCTGTAATTGGGGTGGGTTTTATTTCGAAAATAGCGGTTTCGTGTATGGCGTGGTGGGTTTGGGTTTGGGGTAGCGCTCCCTAACTCTGGTTTTTCGGTAGCCCTCTCGGGGATCCCCTCGGGAAATTTTCCCCCCCTGTTCTCTCTCTCCGGGGGCATCAAAAAGAGAACGAGGGGAGCCGGGGGGAAACCCCAACGGGGGGAAAAACCAAAAGGGGGGGTAAGCCCCTCTGGGGCCGAGGAGCGCGGGGAGAGGGGAGAGAGGAGGGGAAAATTAAAAGGGGAGGGGAAGGGAGAGATTTTAGCGAAGGACAAAAGGGGTAATTATAGGAAATTTTTAATTCCAAAAGGGAATCTTGGATTCTTTTCTCTCTAAAATTTTCTACTCTCTATTCTTATACCCTTATTTTTTCTCTTTTATCTCCTTCTATACCCGTTTGTATCCTCTCTTTTCGGGTATCTCTCTTTGTATCCTCTCCCCTTTTTGGGGGTTCTCTTCTTTTTCGTTCGTTTGATCTCTCCCCTTCTCCTTTTTTCTCTCTCTTTTCTCTCTCTCTCCCCTCTTCTGTATCTCTTCTTCTCTTTTGGTTATCTCTTTTGGTATTTTTTCCTCTCCCCTCTGATTCTCTGTATCTCTCTCTTTTCCTCTCTGAAATCTCCTCTCTATCTCCTTGTATTCTCTTTTTATCGGGATTTTCCCCATCTATTTTCTCTGGGGTTTATTTTCCCCTCTCTCTCTCTCTCCCCTTTTTTTTCCCCTTTCTCTATCTCCCTTATATCTTTCTTAAAATCTCTCTAAGGGACTCTCTTCTTTTTTTCTTTCTCTCCTCTCTTCTCCTTCTCTTTTTGTATCTCTTCTCTCTCTCTCTCTGATCTCCCCTCTCTCTCTCTGTAATACCCTTCTCTCCCCTTCTGTATCTCCCCCCCCTTTTTCTTTGTCTCATCGTAGGTGAAGCAGAGGGGGCCCCTCTATTAGGAGCTTTGCATGCATATCAAATGATTCCCAAGTCCCATGGGCGATGTATTATCTGTAGATTACACTACAGGGCCTACAGCTATGCTTGTAATGATTGAACATGTACTGAAGTGTAGGACGCTTGGCAGCCAGACTAATATGCACACAGTCGAATCGCTTTGCTCAAAAACAAGCTGAAACGGGCAGTCCCAAATGGTAGCCTTTTCTCCTCACTGGCCCTGGTCAAAAGTAATACACTGTATAGGGAGCTGCCATTTGGGAAGCAGACTAGAAGTCTATTTGGGTGGACCCTGATGTTTTTTTTTTCTTATGGATTTCCCTGCCTTGTGCTGATTTTTAATTGATTGTCGTTCATAAGAAGTGAGTAGGAGTGTCTCTCTCTCCCCTCTCTCTCTCTCCGTTCGTTGTGAGTAGGAGGGTTTCTCTCTCCCACTCTTTCTCTGTTCGTTGTAAGAAGTGAGTAGGAGTATTTCTCTCTCTCCCACTCTCTCTCTGTTCGTTGTAAGAAGTGAGTAGGAGTATTTCTCTCTCCCTCTCTCTCTCTCCGTTCGTTGTAAGAAGTGAGTAGGAGGGTTTCTCTGCTCCCCCCCCTCTCTCTGTCTGCATTAAAAGGAAATGTTTCAAATGAATGTGTCCTGTGAATTGATGAAGCCACCTAACCGATTGGCTCTCTCTCAATTCAATTCAATTCAAGGGGCTTTATTGGCATGGGAAACATATGTTTACATTGCCAAAGCAAGTGAAATGGATAAACAAAAATGACAAACAAAAAGTGAACAGTAAATATTACACTCACACAAGTTCCAAAATAATAGACATTTCAAATCAAACCAACCAGCCCTTAACCAACAATGCAGTTCAATAAATACATGTACAGTGGGGAAAAAAAAGTATTTAGTCAGCCACCAATTGTGCAAGTTCTCCCACTTAAAAAGATGAGAGGGCCTGTAATTTTCATCATAGGTACACGTCAACTATGACAGACAAAATGAGGAAAAAAAATCCAGAAAATCACATTGTAGGATTTTTTATGAATTTATTTGCAAATTATGGTGGAAAATAAGTATTTGGTCAATAACAAAAATTTCTCAATACTTTGTTATATACCCTTTGTTGGCAATGACACAGGTCAAACGTTTTCTGTAAGTCTTCACAAGGTTTTCACACACTGTTGCTGGTATTTTGGCCCATTCCTCCATGCAGATCTCCTCTAGAGCAGTGATGTTTTGGGGCTGTCGCTGGGCAACACAGACTTTCAACTCCCTCCAAAGATTTTCTATGGGGTTGAGATCTGGAGACTGGCTAGGCCACTCCAGGACCTTGAAATGCTTCTTACGAAGCCACTCCTTCGTTGCCCAGGGCGGTGTGTTTGGGATCATTGTCATGATGAAAGACCCAGCCACGTTTCATCTTCAATGCCCTTGCTGATGGAAGGCGGTTTTCACTCAAAATCTCATGATACATGGCCCCATTCATTCTTTCCTTTACACGGATCAGTCGTCCTGGTCCCTTTGCAGAAAAAACAGCCCCAAAGCATGATGTTTCCACCCCCATGCTTCACAGTGGTATGGTGTTCTTTGGATGCAACTCAGCATTCTTTGTCCTCCAAACACGACGAGTTGAGTTTTTACCAAAAAGTTCTATTTTGGTTTCATCTGACCATATGACATTCTCCCAATCCTCTTCTGGATCATCCAAATGCACTCTAGCAAACTTCAGACGGGCCTGGACATGTACTGGCTTAAGCAGGGGGACACGTCTGGCACTGCAGGATTTGAGTCCCTGGCGGCGTAGTGTGTTACTGATGGTAGGCTTTGTTACTTTGGTCCCAGCTCTCTGCAGGTCATTCACTAGGTCCCCCCGTGTGGTTCTGGGAATTTTGCTCACCGTTCTTGTGATCATTTTGACCCCACGGGGTGAGATCTTGCGTGGAGCCCCAGATCGAGGGAGATTATCAGTGGTCTTGTATGTCTTCCATTTCCTAATAATTGCTCCCACAGTTGATTTCTTCAAACCAAGCTGCTTACCTATTGCAGATTCAGTCTTCCCAGCCTGGTGCAGGTCTACAATTTTGTTTCTGGTGTCCTTTGACAGCTCTTTGGTCTTGGCCATAGTGGAGTTTTTAGTGTGACTGTTTGAGGTTGTGGACAGGTGTCTTTTATACTGATAACAAGTTCAAACAGGTGCCATTAATACAGGTAACGAGTGGAGGACAGAGGAGCCTCTTAAAGAAGAAGTTACAGGTCTGTGAGAGCCAGAAATCTTGCTTGTTTGTAGGTGACCAAATACTTATTTTCCACCATAATTTGCAAATAAATTCATAAAAAATCCTACAATGTGATTTTCTGGATTTTTCTTTCCTCAATTTGTCTGTCATAGTTGACGTGTACCTATGATGAAAATTACAGGCCTCTCTCATCTTTTTAAGTGGGAGAACTTGCACAATTGGTGGCTGACTAAATACTTTTTTTCCCCACTGTAATTAGGTCTATACACAGTGTTGTAACAATGTTAAATAGTTAAAGTACAAAAGCGAAAATAAATAAGCATAAATATGTGTTTTATTTACAATGGTGTTTGTTCTTCACTGGTTGCCCTTTTCTTGTGGCAACAGGTCACAAATCTTGCTGCTGTGATGGCACACTGTGGTATTTCACCCAGTAGATATGAGAGTTTATCAAAATGTAGATTTGTTTTCAAATTCTTCGTGGGTCTGTGTAATCTGAGGGAAATATGTGTCTCTAATATGGTCATACAGTGCCATGCAAAAGTATTCATCCCCCTTGGCGTTTTTTTCAATTTTGTTGCATTACAACCTGTAATTTAAATGGATTTTGATTTTCATGTAATGGACATACACAAAATAGTCAAAATTGGTGAAGTGAAATGAGAAAAATAACTTGTTTCACAAAATTCTAAAAAATAAATAACGGAAAAGTGGTGCGTGCATACAGTGGGGAAAAAAGTATTTAGTCAGCCACCAATTGTGCAAGTTTTCCCACTTAAAAAGATGAGAGAGGCCTGTAATTTTCATCACAGTGTCAACTATGACAGACATTGAGAGAAAAAAATCCAGAAAATCACATTGTAGGATTTTTAATGAATTTATTTGCAAATTATGGTGGAAAATAAGTATTCCCAATTGGGAATCTGTGGTATGACTGAAAGATTGCTGTACACCAGCGGAACCCATCCAACTTGAAGGAGCTGGAGCAGTTTTGAAGAATGTGCAAAAATCCCAGTGGCAAGATGTGCCAAGCTTATAGAGACATACCCCCAAGAGACTTGCATCTGTAATTGCTGCAAAAGTTGGCTCTACAAAGTATTGACTTTTGGGGGGTGAATAGTTATGCACGCTCAAGTTTTTTTTTTTTTTTTTTTTTTGTCTTATTTCTTGTTTGTTTCGCTATAAAAATATTTTGAATCTTCAAAGTGGTAGGCATGTTGTGTAAGTCAAATGATACAAACCCCCAAAAAATCCATTTAAATTCCAGATTGTAAGGCAACAAAATAGGAAAAATGCCAAGGGGGGTGAATACTTTCGCAAGCCACTGTGCATTTGGCAGGAGGTTAGGAAGTGCAGCTCAGTTTCCACCTCATTGTGTGGGCAGTGTGCACATAGCCTGTCTTCTCTTGAGAGCCAGGTCTGCCTTCGGCGGCCTTTCTCAATAGCAAGGCTATACTCACTGAGTCTGTACATAGTCAAAGCTTTCCTTAAGTTTGGGTCAGTCACAGTGCCACTGTGTACTCTCTGTTTGTAGGGCCAAATAGCATTCTAGTTTGCTCAGTTTTTTAGTAAATTCTTTCCAATGTGTCAATTAAAACGTATCTCTCTCTGTTTCTCTCTCTCTCTCTGTCTCTCTCTGTCTCGCTGTGTCTCTGTCTCGCTCTGTGTCCAGGTACCTGGGTCTGTCAGGTCTGCAGGCTCAAGGAAAATGGAAAGACATTTCTGCATAAGAAAGCCGATCAGATCAAACGTCGATATGCAAAGCCAATCGGGAGGCCCAGAAATAAGCTCAAACAAAGAATGTAAGTTTATCATCATGATCTGGTGCGGCAGGTAGCTTAGTGGTTAAGAGCGTTGTGCCAGTAACCGAAAGGTCGCTGGTTCTAATCCCTGAGCTGACTAGGTGAAAAATCTGTCTGTGCCCTTGAGCAAGGCACTTAACCCTAATTGCTCCTGTAAGTCGCTCTGGATAAGAGCATCTGCTAAATGACTAAAATGTCAAATGTAATGATCTGTTAGAGTAAATATTGTAAACCACCTTATTGCCTCAAGGAAATCCACCAGCTTTTTATCGCAATATTTTGTTGTTATTGAGTTATGACTAAGTTGTTAGTACTTATATTCTCATAAAGTTTAGCTTTGTTTCTCCGTATAGCTTTTGATTTAATGACTCTTAAAAAATGATTTTGTTTCCTTAACCCTATGTTGTTTTGTGTTCTAGGTCTGTAAGCAGTGGTGATGGCTCCATGCTAGCCCGGGGAGGAAGGGGGTCACCTGGTAGGGGTCAAAAGCTTACCGTCTATTCCACATCTTCATCTGGTCATGCAGCATCTGTGAAGGACGCCACAGACAGATTGGCTGTTGCTACAGCAGACCCCTGTTGGGCAGGTGACGCTGTCACCCCCACCACCCAATTCACCACCACCTCCTCCACCCTCTCCACCACTCCCCCCCTCACGCCCACCTCGTCCTCCTCCTCCACCCCAGCAGCTATACTCACTGTTAACAAGAAAACCAAAGGGCTTATCGATGGGCTTTCCAAATTCTTTACCCCCTCACCTGTCGGCCGCAGGTTGTCGCGAGCCGGCGAGATCTTAGACTCCTCGACCTCGAAAGGGTCACAGTCTCGTTGTCCTGCTAGGAAAAAGCCTGTCCCTCTGCCAAAACTATCGAAACTCAGTCAATCTCAGTCTGTTGTTGGCTTGGCGGCAAAGCTAACCACCACCACCCTATCTCCCTGTACACTCCCCATCTCTCCCCCACCCACGTTGCCTGGACAGGGCCCCACCACCTCCCAGGTCTTCTCCAGCTCCACCTCCGCTACCTCCCCCCAGAGCTCTTCCAGCCAGTCCAGCGTCCCGTCCCTCTCTATTCTCTCTGATCACAACCAACTTAAGGGACTCTTTGACGGACTCTCCCATATATATGCCACTCAGGGACAGTCTCGGAAAAAGGGACTGCCTAGCTATGCGCCGCCTAAGCGCAGGCACCATAAGGCGTCCAAAACGTGTCCTCTCATTCCCCATCCTTCCCAGCAGCACCTTGGAAAGAAAGAGATGATACGGAATCGGTTGATGTTGTTGTCCCATTCCTCCCCTGCCTCCTCTTCCCATCCTGGGCCCGGCCGGCCCACGGGGCGCCCGTTCAAGGTGGTCAGTCATTTCAGACGTAACCCCTTTTTAAAAAAGCACAGGACGCTAGGCAGGCTAAGATGTAGGATGACCCCTCAGAAGGGAACCCAGGAAACACCAGGAAAGGGAGACATGACAGACGAAGGAAGAGTTAAGGCAGAGCACGACCATGGTAAGAAAAGGCTTGAACGCTCCAACTGACACTACCTGCGTCTAACGCTATTTTTAATATTATTTTAAACCCAAGGCTTGTCACAAATTGCCTGGCAATTTATCAATTTTTTTATACTACTGTATGAGATAGCTAATGTTTTTTTTTAAAGAGTGAACATTCCCCATCCTCACTTTTCTTAAATAACATTTTAACAAGTTTCTACTACTAATCTTTTATTGTACCACCTACTTTTAATTAATTAATTTCTGTTTTTTTAACACGTTTTAATTTCATTATTGCATTTTGACTTGAATGGCTGCGTTATTAGTCTAGCAATGCAGCTTCTTTGTCACAGTAGTGCATGGGACATCCAACCTGGCCCAACCACTGCTCCCTCCCTCCTCTGTCCTCTGCAGTAGTGCATGGGACATCCAACCTGGCCCAACCACTGCTCCCTCCCTCCTCTGTCCTCTGCAGTAGTGCATGGGACATCCAACCTGGCCCAACCACTGCTCCCTCCCTCCTCATGTTCTCTGCAGTAGTGCATGGGACATCCAACCTGGCCCAACCACTGCTCCCTCCCTCCTCTGTCCTCTGCAGTAGTGCACCGCCTTCGCCCATAGTGACCGTCGCCGTAGTGACCGTAGTATTATTAGCACTCTTCTTCCTCCCGTTCCTCCGCCACTGCACCACCACCACAACAACAACAACAACAACAACAACAACACCAGTGGCGCTGTCACCATTCACCTTCACCTCCAACAGTCGTTAGACTGACATACAACCTAGTGATTGACATTCACCTACCATTGATGATTCACACTTGACATGATGATTACGACTATTGATCTACCCCCTCCCCATCATATGGTGCCATAGGGATGGTTTCCCGGATACAGATTTAGCCTAGTCCTAGACTAAGAAGCATGTCCAATTTAGATTCTCCATTGAGCTTTTTAGTTCAGGATTTGGCTTAATCTGTGTCTGGGGAAACCGGACCTAAAGGGCTATGGATTTGATTTGAAAGGTTTGTAAACAGTGGGACCAAGTCACTGTTATTCAAGTCACATGCAAGTCACAAGGTCCGAGTCTCAAGTCTAGTCCAAAGTAGAACCGATCGAGTCAAGTCCAAGTCGTGCATTCTAAGAGCGAGTCGAGTCTCAAGTCAAGTTTTTAAAAAAGCTATACATGCAATGACTGGTTCAGCAACAAATCTTTGTCTATTTATTGAGACTATAGACAGCCCTTTTCATTATTTAGTCTACAACACATTTTGATTATGTAATTTTAAAATAGGGACCTTGTAATGGTCTTAAAGGGATACTTCGGGATTTTGGCAATGAGGCCCTTTATCTATTTCCCCAGAGGCAGATAAACTCATGGATACCATTTTTGTCTCTGTCCAGTATGAAGGAAGTTAGTGGTAGTTTCGCGAGCCAATGCTAACTAGCGTTAGCACAATGACTGGAAGTCTATGGGTATCTACTAGCATGCTCATTGCGAAAAATCCCAAAGTATCCCTTTAATTAAGGGCTTGAAATCAGCAGAAGGCAAGGCAGATTGATGTTCTCAATGTAGATTTATTTACAGATCTTGTTGATCCAATTGTGAAAGCGCAATATCGTACTAAATATACAAGTAGATTTACCAAATATATATATATATATATATATATATATATATATATATATATATATATATATATATATATATATATATAGATATATACTGGCAACAGCCCAAAAGAAATAGCCTCTGTGTCAGGTTTAACCTGTCCCATCTGAACGGACACAGGTAGAGGGCCAAGCTGTACAGCCTGGTTCCCCTTTGAGAAACCAAATGGAATCTGTCTAACAGGAGCTCAACAGATGCATATCAGCACTTGGCCCCTCCCAGGACCAAACAATTACCCAATTGGCAATTACATTTACATTTTAGTCATTTAGCAGACGCTCTTATCCAGAGCGACTTACAGTTAGTGAGTGCATACATTTTTCATACTGGCCCCACCCCCGTGGGAAACGAACCCACAACCCTGGCGTTGCAAGCGCCATGCTCTACCAACTGAGCTACAGGGTAGCAATTACACAACCAATAAACGTATTCTACAATGGAAAAGGCAATTTCCACATCCATTGTTACATTGGTGCATTCTTCTTAATCAG